AAGTGCGCGCAAGCCTCGAGGAGATTGCTCAGGCCGTTGCGAACATCGTGAGGGGTGAAGAGACCTGGTCAGATGTTGCCGCACGGTTACCCAAGTTTGAGAGCCAAGAGGTCGACTGATTGTATAGAGCATGTCTATAGAAGAACTGCGTCCTAATGAGAAACGTAGCCTGTGTATTAGAATTGACGTCACTTCGATATTGAATCGGAAAAACCCAGCGTATTCCGCTTGCCAATGTTTTCATTCGCTCCTTCCGTGTATCACACCGTGAGGTGTAATTCGCCCGCGCCGCAACTGTGCGTTCAATACTTTAGCACACCGCACTTCGCGCCTCCTTTCAGTCTCACCTTTTTCTCCACAGACAACTCTCCTGCTTACTCTGACCCGCTATGTAAAACTCCCCTCGGACACATGGACGCGGCACGGATGCGCATCAGAAAGAGTAGGGGGCCTGCAAATCAGCCTCACTCTGGTTGCACCTCCCGGGATCCGGGTTGTCCGGCACCTTTCCCGTTTACTGCAGGATCGCCCGACCGACTTCAGAGCTGGAATGCTCCTCGATAGGCTGGTCGGTCATTCCTGTCTATCACTTGCTATGTATGGTTTTTGATGGAGACAAAAGATAGATTACTCCTACCAGCACCGACAGCTGATACCCCGGCATCCCTGGTCGCCAACCCGTCGATTCTCTGGTTCGTACATACATCGGGCGGCACCCGCTGCATCTGCTAGGATCAAACGTGACCAGCAATGACTCGTCCGCGTCGAGCTTACTCCTCTGCGTGCTAGGTGTGAAAAGTCTCCGTGGAGGATGGTGAGAGATGAAGCAAAGCAAAAGGCCTCGAAGCAAATGTGCCCTACACATTGTGCAAAAAGCTACAAGATGGTGCATTCACTCCCGGCAGTCCGGTTGACGATCTACTGGATCCGCTCCGCTGGCGCCGGTAGCATGGCCGCACCGTCAAAAAGCCCGGCGCCAAAAGTCTGTGCCTAGAGCCCAGCTGAGACGTCTAGGACTCTGCTCTCCGCGGTAGTATCAGCAAGAGGCTGCTGCAGTCTGGTTCTGGACTTGTGCTACGACCTTTTGTGACATGCTGCAAGCCGGCAGCAGGGTCTGGGTTCCTACGCGCTAACACCTGCGAACACGTAGCACGAACCGGAGATTGCGTTGTAACATAGCGATGGACGCATTCATGTCGCCAACGGGTTGACTCAGTATCAGCGCATCCCTTCGTCAATCATCCCGCCCGAAGGTCGAACATAGATAGCCTGCTGTCTAAAGCTGGGTTGGTAATTCGTCCGTGTCATAGCCAACATGATTAGAAGTCAGCTACCGCTTTTGTGGCTGTTCAGAGTCTGATGAGCATCGGTCGAGGCCTAATTCTTAGCAAACAGAGGTATTGGCGGTCCTGACCACCTCTTACTAACGTGCTGCAACACGTCTACGTCGGTCGCCCGCGTACCATCAACTATCGCGTCAGTCACCCACATAGCGCGATTTCCTCTACCGCCTGCCGATCTTCTCGCCGTAAGTCGCCCGTTTCCGTTTACGGTCCAGCACATGTAGACCGTATACGCAGTACCCACGCGCCCCCAGCATCAAGCGACCATCGCTTAGCATGCAGAACCTCAGCTTTTAGCACCCGTTTGCTAGGGTACTACGGATGCAGCACATACCCAAGAGACGAATGATTTCTACTTCTTCCGTCTACCTGTCATTCTTGTCTTATTTATTTAACGAGAACCGTTAGATCTTTTGCATCGGCTTTCCGAGACCATGGACGAGGGACAGCCACCACCCGGCGACGTGGTTGCCCCTCTCACAGGCGCTCCACTCAAACGCCGACGGGCTGACTCGGAGAGTATCTCGTCGATCGAGTCTAAGTACGTTGCTGTCTTCTATTCTTGCAGTTATTTGCCACTCTGCGTTGTGACGTGGTCGTTGGGGCACCTGGGTAGATCCACTCGGCAGTCTCCAAGGATCAACAACGATTGCTGTAGCCTTACGGGTGATCAGCCACCAACGACCATCGTACGGTGTACAAAGCTGACGCCTATCTCGACAGTCGCTCTGTCCGCACATTAGCTTCCGACGATCTAGAATATTTCCATGAAAATGGACGAACGTACGGTAATGAAACGTACTACCTACCATGCGTATACAAGCAGCACAACGACTTCATAGAGCAGGATCGTTTGTCTCTACAGCATGAAATCTTCGTCCGAGCACTTCATGGCAAGCTTACCACTGCGAAATTACTGCCTACTACCCGAAGAATACTCGACCTGGGCACTGGACCAGGTCACTGGGCTGTTGCCATGGCGCGTCAGTACCCGCACGCGGAGGTTGTCGGAATTGACATGACGGAATGGGATATAGACACCACCGAAGCCACGTTGGGCGATGCCAGGGTGACATGGGAGCTGGACGACCTTGACGTCTGGGGAAAAGAGATGGATGTCGATCAGCTGATCAACCAGCTCGCTACTCTAGATCTAGCCAATGAGTTGGCTAATCGGACTCCCATCGACGCGCTGAGGAAGCCCAAGTCAACGGTCGATCTCAGTCAGCAAGGAAGGGAGCCTACGCCCGAGGAGCATTTGACTATTGATCTCTCAACACTTACCCCCCAGCCTGAACCTGGCTGGCACTTTAGCGACTCCTTTGAGCTCATACATTTACGAAACATGAAGGGCTCTTTCACGCACTGGGAAGACGTATATGCCGAGATATACAAGAGTCTTTCACCCGGTGGATGTATTGAACTCGCAGATTGGGATCTCGGCCAAGTGCCCATGGGCCCAGGGGAGATCACAGCAGCAAACATACCCATGCCTACCCTACGGAAACTCTACGTGGCGTTCATGGAAGCATCATTCAAATCTGGCCGTCCACTCGGCCTCTTCTACATGCACCACACCTATCTCGAAGAAGCAGGCTTCGAAGACGTCCAAACGACCCAAGTCAACGTGCCAGTCGGACAATGGCCAAAGGACGAAGCGCAGCGATCGCTTGGCAAGATGATGTTTGTGCTTGGTATGGAGATGTTTGAACCGGTTTGTTTGAGGCTCTTGACGCAGTGGGGAAGCAAGACGAGGGTTTGGACAGCGGAGGAGCTGAGAGCTGATATTTTGGTTGCGCAAAAAGAGATTTACGATTATGTTGAGCGGTCGGAACGGGGGGAGGTGGAGGGGTGGTGTGCAAGCTTCAAGTGGGTTACCGCTAGGAAAAGCTGGCACGCGGAGAAGTGACCTCGGGAGTGATCGGCTGATGTGTTTGTTGATACTGGCATTTTTGAGGAAGGTGGTGATGTTGATTGGATCACGGTATTATGAGGCACGACTACTTTGCAGAAAACATCTCCGCTATAATGCACATCGACTGATACCGCGTTGGCCCGTACCTCACCGATACAATGGGCTTTCACGTTACAGAACCCGTCCTTGAGTTTTTGAGTTTGCATCGATGATCTGCCAAGGAAGATGGAAAGGGAAGTCACCACCCATCATTCCAGCCGAGCACGGCAAGCACGCTGGTCGTACAGAAGCCATCGGAAGGTGGAGCCGTAGCAATGACATATATTCAGGCAACGAAGCCGTAAGGCCACATTTACAAAGCTTTTTTTCCTCAAACGTCCAAAGATGTCTACAAACCTCTCAGCCAACGAGCTCTTCAACGTCAACGGCATAGTAGCCGTCATCACAGGAGGCGGAACAGGTAGCCCACCCACATACCAAACCCAACAGCACTCCTCTAACAACGCCAGGCATTGGATTAATGATGGCCAAAGCCCTAGCAGCCAACGGCGCCCACCGCATCTACATCGTAGGCCGCCGTCCAGACGTCCTCCACTCGGCCGCCAAAAGCATCAACCCAGAAACCGTCATCCCGCTACCCGGCGACGTCACGTCACGCGAATCTCTTCTCTCAATCGCAAAGCACGTCGAGACCGAAACAGGCTACATCAACCTCCTCATCTGCAACGCAGGCATCATGGGCCCTAAGCCGCTCAAAGCAGCACCAGGATGCGCCGCGCCGTCAGTCGCAGAGTACGCAGCACACGCGCTCGAGACGCCCATGGCCGACTTTACCAACACGTATGCGGTGAACAACACGGCGGTATATTATACAGCGCTGTCCTTCCTCACGCTCCTCGACGCGGGCAACAACAGGAAAACAGCGCACGCTAATGTCCGTTCACAAATTATAACGACATCGAGTATCGGCGGTTTCTCGCGTTTACCCGGCGCGTCGTTCGCTTACAATAGCAGTAAAGCGGCTGTTACGCATATGACGAAGATGCTGGCTACGGCGTTTGTGCCTTACGGTATCCGTTGTAATGTACTTGCGCCGGGCATTTTCCCGTCAGAGCTCGCGATGGGCATTATTGGATCGTTGGAGAAGGGACCCAATGGGGAGGTGGATACGAGTGTTGTACCGGAGGGCAGGACGGGCAAGGAGGAGGATATTGCGGGCGCGGTGTTGTGGATGGCGGGGAGGGCTGGGGGGTATTTGAATGGGAGTGTGGTTGTGGTTGATGGGGGGAGGTTGGGTATGTTGGCTTCTACGTATTGATGTTGTTAGCAGGAAGGTATTGAGATGGGATCGTTTGCGTCTTGCGTAGTCACTGTGGAATTCGAGATGGATATAGTCTAGGGAGGGTGCATGGTGTTTACATTAGGCGTGTGCCCTGAGTGACGCAAGCCGCCCCCACTAGCGCGTTTCTCCCTGCATTTGCGGAGTTGAAGACACACCTCCGAAGACGCTTGCTACACCTCGACTACCATGCGCGCGTGCTGACCACGCGACCATGCCTGCTCCAACACACAGGCTCAATTCCAATGAGCTGTTGAATTCGCCTGGTTTCCTCGGCGCGGCCGCGCGCTTCTGGCAGGTGAGCGAATTCACAACGAGGCGTGGTTTACGCATGGATAGAGATAGCTAACACACATCTGCAGCGCTCGTATGCCTCGGATTATGTTGGCATTGCCATCTTAGTATGCGGGTACATACTGGTGCGTAATCACAACACCGGAATAAACCCTCGCGGTTCCAACAAGAAAGCAAGACTGACAAACTAGACACAGATACAATTCCTCGCCGAACCCTTCCACCGCATGTTCTTCCTCGACAACCTCGCCATCAACTACCCCCACGCAGAACACGAACGCGTCCCCGTCTCCTGGCTCTTCATCTACGCCGGCGCCGTGCCCCTCGGCGTCCTCATCGCCTGGGCCCTTGTCCTGCGCCCCGGAACACACAAAGCGCACGTTACAATTTTCGGCTGGTTCATCAGCATGATCCTCACCATGTTCATCACCGACGTGATTAAAAACGCTGTTGGCCGTCCCCGCCCCGATCTCATCGCTCGCTGCAAACCCGCTCCTGGCACGCCCGCACACCAACTCGTCACCTTTGACGTCTGCACCGAAACGAATCATCACGTTTTACACGACGGGTGGCGCAGTTTCCCAAGCGGACATAGTAGTTTCTCCTTCAGCGGCCTCGGCTACCTCGCCCTCTTCATCGCAGGCCAATGCCACGTCTACCGCCCGCGCGCCGACCTCGCCCGCGTCCTCCTCGCTCTCGCACCTCTGCTTGGCGCAGCGCTTATTGCGATTTCTCGTTGTGAAGACTATAGACACGATGTTTATGATGTTAGTGTGGGGTCCGTGTTGGGTATGGCTGTGGCGCATTATACGTATAGGAGGTATTATCCGGCACTGCGCAATCGGGGGTGTGCGGACCCGTTTCCTAATCCTGCGGATGAGAAGGGCTGGGGGAAGGTTAAGGGGGATGAGGAGAGTTTGAGGAATGCGGAGGAGTTTGAACTGAGTGATCTGGAGGAGGGGGATGAGGAGGGGAGGATGTTGAATGGGCGGCGGTGAGGATGTATGGGTTTATACGGAGGTGTTATATCATGGACTGAGATTGGTATCTCTATCATATCATATCACATCGTATCATACGCAAATCGCAGGAGTACGAGGGGTTCAAGGCCCCTGTGCGCTGTTCAAGCCCCGCAATTCGTCCAGAAGCTTAGTCCGTTCAAGCTCATACCGTTGCTTTTGTACGTCATCCGCGCCAGATGCGCCTCTTCGCTCTCTCTGATCAAGCCGGCGGTTTTCTGCTTGGTCCAACTGGCTGATCAGTGCAGGTATCTCTTTCACCCGATTCTGCGGTCCCGCGTTACTCTGGCCCGTTGGGCCCACTGTAGCTTCCAAAGGTGTCAGTGAAGGGCGATAGCAAGAAGAAAGGTGACTCTTAATCTTACCTGGAGTACCCGTGGTAGGCGAATGGTTTAACAACAACCCAAAACTCGATTTGAGGGAGGTACGTAGCGCTTTCGATTTTTCCCCCAATGCATCCCTTGCCTGCATAAGGGAAGCTTCAATGGATCGTAGGTGGATGATCGGAGACAGGCTGGGTACGATACTAGACGCAGCAGCCAATATTTTCGCAACTCCATCCTCAAAGATACTCAGGCTGTCGATGGTCTCTTCGTCCAGGATTACGTCGAATTGAAGGTTGTTTAAAACATGAAAGCGGACCCTCTTAGATTTCCAGACTTTCCTGGATCTTTGGCTCCGGGGATGGGCCTCAGATTTAGAGACACGAACAGTTACGTCTGCGAAACCGGTCGTATATTCGAGTGATCCGTCGGCCAACTCAAGCTCTTCGCAACCGTAGTCGCGTAGAAGACCGTGTTTCTTAGCATACTCGCCACTGACCAAGGCAATCTCTGACCCGGTGTCCGCAGCTGCAAATGCTTTTCGCCCATCAATAGTGCATGCAACTTGATTGGTCGCATTTCCTACTGCACATAGTCGTAGAGAGCGCTTCCACGTCGTCGGAAGGTCCACCATGCGTGATGTGTATTTGGTGATAGTCTCAGTGGCCTGGAGGAAAGTCATGCCAATGAGTACTGGTAGTGCTAAGCGCTCGAACACGTTGAACCGACAGGTCATAGAAGCTGCTTCCGAGCCCATCTGTCTAGCGAACTGGACCGCTACAACAACCTGGCCCACGGCCTTGATGATTTTGCCATTCGGGAGCTGGAAGCCTGCTTCTGTACTGGGACTCGGCTTGATGGTATATCCCAACTCGATTGCCTTGGCACGAGACATGTGATTATCGTGCGTTCCGGTGTCGTAGCAGGTCATAATCTCCTGTTGTCTACCATGGGCTTCGAGAAGTAATGGAAGACCTCGACGGCGCCCTTTCACATCATTGCCTTCCGTAGCTACCCTATCTCTTTCCTGTGCCGGGATTGTATACATGCGTGCTCGTGCAGGTTCCATTGACTGCCGAAGTTTGCGGACGTTGTCTTGCTCTGTGATCATATCGATCTCATTCAACACTTGGGTCAATGAACCCTGCTCTACTCCTGCGTTGTCATTCGAGAAGTCATCGTAAGGCATATCATGCAGTTCGACCCCAGCACCCATGCAAATCAAGGCATCCGCCGTTTCCTTGGGACTGCCACCACACTTTGTACCATCTGCTGGAGTGCCAGGCGCAATACCATTTAGTTGGCTAGAGGACCCGCTTTCTGCCGTGTATGTATCAGAAACCCAGTCGACTGAGGCTTGATTGGTGCCGAAATTTGGCTTGACTGTTTCGCGATACTGGAGGAATTCATAGTACCAACTCTGCATAAGATACACATAAGCACCTGCCTTGTAAGGATTCTGGATCGTACTGCCGCACCTTGTCTGAGGATTCTTTGTAGCCGTCAGGGAGCTCCTTTGACGGGATACAGTAGCCCGATAGCCAGTCTAGTCCCTCGGGATGTGGCTCAGTAGCCATAGGTTCGGAAGTTGATGGGGTTTGTAGAGACAATGACTGTGTACTTGGCGTAAGCAGGCAGCAGTATCAGTGGGCGAGTATATGATGTCAAGTGTTGAAAATCGGGAATGCGCTTGTGTGTTCGTGTGGACCTAAATGGTAATGGCACCGCACCCGTATTTCCAGCACCAAAGCTGCAGATGCCAGTAGGTGTGAAGAACAGAGATGCGACGAGGGGGATTGCTGTCTGTGAGCGAAGGTGGTGGCAGGCTGATAAGTCGCTTGGCGTATGCAATGCAGGGTTCTTCACCGGTGTGCGTTACTAGCAAGGCAGATTCAGGACGTCGTTGTGCCGCGCAACTTCCATCGCCGCAACACTTGACAAGACCACGATGCGGACTTCGCGCCATCATGTTGCGCGGCCACTAGATGGATATCCCTCACTCGCAGAAGATATCTCGAGTGACCCGGATCGAACGTCTTTGGTTTTCAGGCGTTTCGACAGGCTCGCTGTGCGTAATCTGCTTTACCTGCAAAGTGAGCTGGTTGAACTGGAGGCAATGCAAGTACGCACGAAATCGATTCGAACTTTTCATGGCGATCCGCTGATATTGATGCCAACAGGAGCAGTTGGATAGCGAGGATCGAAGCTACGAGAACAATGATCTCGCCGCCGGAAGATGTGCCATGAACTGGGAGGCGTTCAGAAATGCTGCAGATGACCCTGCTAATATTCAACAACGAAATCGAATGGATCTGATGGAAACAATACGGAAAAAGATGAAAGAGTATAGTATTACCTGATGCCAGCCCAGATTCTCAAATGACATGCTGAAAACGTCAAAGGAAAGGCACTGTTATCCGAAAGTCAAATGGCGCAACTTGGACCGCCTCCAATACGCACCTTTGACGCCGTTCATCATGCCTCAACGCGCTTCAATAAGCTTGCAAATCAGCGGGATCCAATTTTCGGGGGCCATAGTGCTGCCCTGTATGAAACAAACAATGATCTGGTTCTCCTAAAACAACCCGCACACGAAGACCGTGTCACTACATTCGTGCAGCAATATCTTCCAGTCTTCTTTTTGGTGCGTACAACCCAGTTTCTACTGCCCTAAAAACGTGCTGATGTAGAGTGCGAAGGCAGAGAGAAGGGAGAACGGAATGGCATACGTGCCAGAAAAGAGAATAGCAAGGTTCGTGACGATCTTCAGCGTCATTATCGCAGTCGTCCTACTCTTCGTCGCGATTCTGGTCCTGTATTATGTCAACAATCCCACAACGAAGCTAATCATGATCGGCGTATTCATGTTGTTGTTCGCTGGGAGCGTTAGTATCTTCACTGCTGCGAAGCGATCCGAGGTCTTCGCAGCCACGGCGGCGTAAGTCTAAAGGTCTCCATCTCATTTCCGAAAGCTAATTCTACGTCAGCTACGCAGCGGTGCTTGTGGTATTTGTAAGTGGGAATCTTGGCTCGAGCAGTTCTGAGGTGCCACGTAGGTAGCTGCGACGGCGGGTGCCTGACTCAGTTCCGCATCATGCATCATGATATTGGGTCGCAACAGCGTCGGTGTTATCTGCATATCCCATCAGCGCACATATAAATTTGTAGGAGGCGGATGTTTTGAAGTGGTGCATTGAACAAAATCTCTCAGTTTGAGTATGAATTAGACGCGGTAGTAGTACAAGGACCTTCCCTACATGATGACGCATGCCATGGCCACCAGGACGTGCACTAGCGCGTCCTGAACGCGTAGGACCCCTCCCAGGTTTTCTACTGATCATCAAAACCACGAACATCAATTCTCTTCTGATCCACTCTGAACGCGTATAGCCCATTCTTTTTGCAATTCCATCTGCAATGCCGTCAGCATCTGGTCGCCTATATCCTGCGAGAACTCTTCGCGAAGCCTCGACACGATGTTGTATGCTGCGTTGTGTCGCGGACACATAGATTCGGAAAAGCTACCACCGTCATCGTATCTTTCGGTACAATGGAATAATATCGTCGGATCGAGATGGTTGAAAGGTGAAGCGTCTGCATACTTGAGCGATAGGCATTTCGTCAAGATCAGTCTCATACCCTCTACGGACTTTAGGTAGGTTTCGATGGCAGGCTCGAAGCAAAGCGGTCGTTGACGGGCAAATTCTAGTACTAGTCCCGCAATGCCGGCGGCGATAGGAGTGGCACAGGATGTTCCTACCATTCTCTTCCACCCCTCATGTGGATCCTCAGAAGGAAGGTGTGTAGGGTACGCAGACCTTACTGCTTCGCCCAAGGCAGTAAATCTGGCTTTGTGGCTGACTTGTGGAGGATTGAACTTGGACGGGTTACCATGAACATCTGCTGCATCGACGGCGATAACTTCCAAAGCTCGAGCTGGATACGACATGCCGGCTTTCGTTCGGATGCCTTCGTTCGAGCTCGCCGCGAAGAGTAGAACATTGCTAGCTCTAGCACGTCTAATCGCCGCTCGAAGTTCGTAATCACTGTCCTCGTTCCAGCCTAGACTCATACTAATGATGTCGACCTTCTTCTTCTCGACAGCGTCATTGATGGCCTCCGCTACGTACTTCCTGTCGATTGCTTCGGTACCTTCGCAGACCCTGTATACATACACGTCTGCGTACGGGCAGACAGTGAGGATCACACCGACAGCATGGGTACCATGGCCTTTGCTGTCACAGTTCCAGGGCAGAGACGGATCTAGCTGCTTTCCTAATTTCACTCGTGGACTCTTCATCAGATGCGGAACTCGGCCCTGGGTGGCGCTCTTAGCCACGCCACTGTCGAGTACAGCGATCTTTACGCGTCGTTCTGTCTTCTTCGCCTTATAAGAGTCGCCCTTATACCTGTCCGGCAGTACATGGGCATGGTCACGTAGGTCTTCGAACCAACCATCGGCTATGACTTCACTATGCATCGTTAACGAGACGTTTGATGTTTAGGGTACCTGGGGACTCACTCTTGGGCGCTCCAGTTCTGGATTGGCGCACTACTCATTTCGGAAATACTTCTCCTCAATGTGTTTACGGATGAGGCGCGCCTGTGTCTTACGTCTTCTGTCTGCACTACCCGCAAGCCATTTTGGCCTGGTTGGTCGTTGGAACGGATCTTTCTCAATCCATGGAGAGGGCCTGGATCATCAAAGTCTTGATGCCACCCACCGGGCACGAAGCTGTCCCTTGCATCGGCCTTGGACGTCTCTTGGTGGATGATTGGAACAGATTCAGATCGTACATGAGGCTGAGATTGTGTGTCGAACCATATCTCAGCGTCACGAGTACTGCTTCCTTGCTCTGGCTCTTTTCTCGACACGAAGGACTCAGAGATCGTTCTGGGCGTGATTGGAACACGCGGCGAAGCTGTTGGAACCAGCAGGTCTACCATCTGTTTGGTCTGCTTCCCTAGCCACGACATTGAGGTGCGAACTATTTGATCTGTCGCAGGTTCGTTGTTTATCCTGCTAGATTGACCTGTGGTTTGCTCAGAGTGCACTCCCGGTGCTGGAGATCGATTACTGCATTCCGGCAGCTGCTCCTTAGCCGAATTCTCGCGCTGCGCGCTCGATTGTGGGTGTGCATCTTCTGCTGGTGACACTGCTCGAAGGGACCTTTCCTTTCCAAGTGTTGTACTTTGCCACTCAACAGCAGAACTAGCGTTGCCCAGCTCTTCATTATGTGCCTCAAGCCCCTTCAGAGCCTTTGCAAGCGCATCCAACTGTTGCAATATGTTCTCCTCACCCGCTGGGTTTGCCGGGGGGATACTTTTCCTGGACACACGGTGAATCTCGGGTGGTGTTTGCTTAGACGATGGCTCTTCTGTAGTCTCTCTTTTTCTGGGGTTCACACTCGAACGTGAAGAGTCTTCCCTCGAGGAACTCTGGTTGTGTACAATGATCTCTATCGCAGGGGAAAACTTCACCTGATGTGTCGGACTCGCTTTTGCGCCGCTCACCGGCGTTGAGACCGCCTCAATCTTCGCTGGCAGAGCAGTGGTAGACTTGGGAAGAGTCGAACTTTCGCTTTTGCGGGATATCGCGTTCGGCAATACCTCACTCTGGGCTTTGTGTGTTGGTAGAGGTGGATGTTGCGCCACCGGTATCTCGGCTGGATCCGTCTTGGGGCTCTTCTTTTCGACCTTCCGGTGCTCGTCTTTCTTTTGACGATCTTTCTGTGACTCTGGAGGCTGCTTCTCCTGTTGTTTGGCTGAACCTTTTACAGTCTCCTGTCTCGTTTCTCTGTCTGCACCCAAAGGGTCCTGGGTTTGCGCCACTGGTATATCGGCTGGATCTTTTCTGGGGCTTCTCCTTCCCGCGTTCTCATGGTCATCTTTCTCTTTACGCTCCTTTTGTGGTTCTTGAGGCTGCTTCTCCAGTGATTTGGCTTGCGCTTTGGAAGCTGAAAGCCTTTCGGTGTCTCGTCTCGCTGCTCTGTCTGCACTCAAAAGGTCCTGGGTGTGTGCCACTGGTGTATCGACTGGGTCTATTCTGGGGCTCCTCCTTCCCGTCTTCTGGTGCTCATCTTTTTCTTTACGCTCCTTTTTCGGTTCTGGAGGCTGCTTCTCCAGTGGTTTGGCTTGCGCCTTGGGCCCAGAATTCTTTTCGGACTCCCGTCTCGCTGCTCTGTCTGTACCCGAAGGCTCCCGGGTTTCTTTCTTGTCTGGAGTCTTCTTGTCTTGCTGCTTATTCGTATCTTGCCCACGACTTTTCGGTCTTGTGTTTTCTCCTTCCGGACGCTTCATCGGTTCCTCCCCAATCTTTTTCCGGTCTGCATTCTTCTTCTGATCCTCATTACGGCGATCTTTCTTCTCCGCTTTCGATGCCTCCGGCTTCTCCAAGGTTTTTTCTTCTCTTGTCCTTGAGCTTTCCGCTGCTGGTTGCTTCGCTGTCTCCTTCCCTTTCCATCTCTTCTCTCTTGCTTCTTGCATTGGGGTTTGCTCGGCTTGATGTATGTCTTTGGCTTTTCTTTTGGCCACCGTTTCTCCATCTCGCGCTGCTTGCCTACCTGGCTCTTTCTGTTTCTTGTCTTCTTCCTTTGCTTTGCGCGCTCGTATGTCTTTCTCGTCTTGCTTTCGTTTCGTCTCCTCTTCCTCGCGCGCTCGTACCAAGTCAGCCTGCTCTTTTTGGTCCGCAACCTCTCTAAGACGCTTCTGTTCAGCTATTTGTTTCTTCTCTTCTTCTTTCGCTCTGCGCGCTCGTCTGTCCTTTTCCTTCTGCTTCCTTCTCGCCTCTTCTTCCTCGCGCGCTCGTATCAAGTCAGCCTGCTCTTTCTGGTCTGCAGACTCTTTCAAACGTTTCTGCTCATCTATTTGTGTCTTGAGCACTTCTCTCCGTCTTCTCTCTTCCGCTGCCGCGGCAGCTTGCTGTCTTACCTTGGCCCGTTCTTCTCGGTCTGCAGCTTCTTGTAAACGTTCTTGCTCAGCTATCTGTGACTTTAGGAGTTCTTCTCTTCGCTTTCTCTCTTTCTCTGCTGCCGCAGCAACCTCATGCAGACGCTTCTGCTCAGCCACTTGCGCCTTGAGCACCTCCTCTCTCCGTCTTTTCTCTTCCACTGCCGCGTCAGCCCGCCGACTTGCTTTCAAGTTTTGTCGGTCGATATTGATTTTACAGGTCCGAACCGCGTCCTCTGTGTCTTCTAGATACTGTTGGTATTCGGGCGATGATCTGGCTTGGCAGTTTTTCAAATGGAGGATCTCCATCACCTCGCTGAATTTCTCCAGGGCGTCGCCGTACTTCTTCAGAGCGCTCAACTCTCTGCCTAGGTTGTATCTTACATGTACGGATTCAATGTGGTCTTTTCCCAGACTCGCCTCCGCTCTTTGCAAGGTCGTCATGTTCAGATTTATTGCTTCCATAATGTCGCGGTCTGTACCAAGTTCGTACATGGCCGCTGCAAGATCCACCCGGTCCATACATCTTTGTTCCGCCGACTTCGATATGATGTTATCTTCGACAACTGCCCGGAACTTTTTGATCGCATTCTTGTAGTCTTTGCTCTCTAAGTACGCCCGCGCTAATTGTCTTTGAGCCTCCAGGTGGTTTTCCTTGGACGCCCGTGCCGGGGCGCTAATTTCGCGAGAAGAACCCCGGTCCCGTCTGTAGCGCTCGAGCGTACGTTGCTCGTTCTCCAGTCCACACACAATCGCCTTCTGGAAGTCTCCAGCCTTCATAAGGCTTGCGGCTAGGCGTTCACGTATCTCCAAAGTCTTTTGATCAAGATTCCCGTAGTGTTGTTCGGCCAAATCGGTCGCTCTCTCCCACGCTATGACGACACCTGGGAGAGAAGCCTTACCTATATTTTTGGCTATAGCCTCAAGGCTTTCAGCTTCAGAACGGAGTTCGTTGATTCGGGCATCGAGCGTCATCTCAGGAGGGGAGGACCTTCGCCACTCCTCAAATCCGTCCTCGCGCCGTACCGGTAAAGTGTTGGCAATCTGGCATACAAAAAATAGAGAAGAGGTCGGATCCCTCCTTCGGTCGTTCCGCGTCGTCGATGTGTAATCGATCTCGAAGTTCTGCGGGCCGCCTCCCGATGTCATCCGGGCTGCGGCGCAGTGGGGGCTGAAAGATAGCTCGCCTGCATACCCAACCTAGGCCAAGCGGATATGCAGAAGTTCAGCGTAACGCCGGGTGTACTGACCGTTTCGAACAACCCCCCGCCTCCATTTTCGGCGCAGCCGTGTTTCGATAGCAGCCAGCCTTCTCATTTCGGCGCATCTTTGCACCTTGAGCAGGCTGTGTAGTTTCGACCTTTGTCACGATGCGAACTAGACTTCCCACATGCCTGTCCTGAAGCTTGCGCCTCGAATACAGTCATGGTTGACAGCACCGCCACCGGATTGCTCAGATCAATCACCGTCGCACGTCGTTCGTATACCTGAAGCGTTCCCAGCCGCTGCTCGCCGCTGGACCCCCACTGCAGCGACCGTCGAAGAGACTGGTCCCGTAAGCCCTACTCTTGCGCGACCATCTAGCGAAGTTATTGGAGGAGCTTTTGTGGGAGCTTTTCTTGGTCTACTGATTCTAATATTCCTGACATGGTGCTGTTGCTGCGGCCGTGGTCGTGGTGGTAAGGGTAGTAATACAGGTAGTGATAAAAGCTCTTCTACAACAAGCCCACCGTCATCCCCAAGAGCCCCGCTACCAGTTCCACCACCTGCTGCTCAAACTAGACCACCATTCAGTACCCGTGGTCTAGGTCCAGCGGCAACGTTACCGGTCCGTCCAGCACCCGGCCTACCACCTAGCTCAGCACATCATCCAAACCATCCTCGGGTCCCTCTTCATTACCATCAGCCAGTGGCACCTCCAACGATCCCTCCAACAACTCACCAAGCTGCTCCGACACATCACCCAGCTGATCAGCAGCCTCATCATACTCTTTATGAACCATCCCGAGCCACAAGACAGACGCGTAGACCAGCAGCAGCTTTCAACACAACGCATGGTGGGAACCATGCCTTGGTAGTGCCGAGAACTGGCGGGATACCACGACCTCCGAGACACGATCGAGTAGAGCTTGAGTCCCTACCGAGTTCCCTCGATGATCATCCAGAAAGAGTATGTGTCCCCCTCTCAAATTTTGAATGCAAATGCTAAGCCAATACAGCCTGCCCCGCCGCGCACGCAAGGTATGCCGAAGATTCTGTTCATGAAGATATGATCAGCGAGGTATCAGTCTCAATACCTTGGTGCCCAACATGAGTTTACCGGGTAGACACTGCTCGATGCAGTGAGCCCATCAGGATTGGACTGTGGGCTGCATTACTCAGCCCCGCTCGTCATGCATCCACACGCAACCCTGCATTACCATGCATGCTTCGACTCATGTCTAGTACCTCTGCAACTAGCGCCTCACTATATATATGGCGCC